TGTGTGTGTGTGTGTCTCTGTGTGTGTGTGTCTGTGTGTGTGTGTGTGTGTCTGTGTCTTGCAGAAGGCTAAGCTGCTAGTTTGGGGCTGCCGGGCGCCTCCCGTGTGTCTGTGTGTGTGTGTGTGTCTGTGTGTGTGTGTGTGTGTGTGTGTGTGTGTGTGTGTGTGTGTGTGTGTGTGTGTGTCTTGCAGAAGGCTAAGCTGCTAGTTTGGGGCTGCCGGGGCAGCTTCAGGCACCAACGACCTAGAGAAATAAGCCCGGGGGAAGAAATGACGGGCACCCTGACAACGGAGATTGAAAGAGAAAGAATGGAATATCTGATCCTTCACTGAACCCCTTGCAGGGTGCCAAGCCCTGGGTTAGATGCACGTTTTTCATTGCAACTGTAATCTGCACTGAAACTCCTGAGAAGCGAGTGCAGCTCCTTTTGACTAGTGGGAAAACAGCGGCTGGACCACACGGAGAAACTTGCCCAAGAGTTGCCATCTAGGCACGTTCAAGGTCCAGCCTGGATCACGGAACCCCACCCCTTGGACATTTCACCCACAGGCAGAAATGTACCTGCCCTCAGAAAATGGTACCTCTCAGCTTGGCGCTGCTCTGGGGGTGCCGGCTTGCTATTTGCTCTCCCACCAGGCCCAGGCAACTCGGTCCAGGTACTACTTCCCAGTGAGCTCCTCTGGAAACCCTCCCAGAAAGCAACATACTGTCCTCACCACACTCTGACTGGGGTTGAACTCCCACTCAGTGTATCCCGCCTGTAGTTAATGGAATCCAGGTCAGAACAGACCCCGGGGAAAGATTGTAAGCACACCCGAATCACCGTCAGACCACCCCCTATAGTGGATCCAGATCTGATCCCATTGCTGTGGTTGGCCTTCCATCAGTAGTAAGTCCGGAGAGCGGGAACAGTCTTCCAGGTGTAAGTGCCTGAGTGTTTTGAGCCACTGGAGGGGGAGGAGAGCGGGGAGCGGGCCGAAAAAGGAGGCTGCAGCAGAAACGTGGTTTTTCCCACCACCCCAACAAGGGCCCAGAACTAGTGGCTTTGCCCCTCGTTTGCACAGTAGGCTGCCCTAACAGTTGACCAGGTGACATCATGACAGTGAAAAGAGCAGGGACATAACGGTAGACTACGCGATCAAAAGAGGAAGTCTTTGATTTCCTGGTTCCTTACCAATTAATTGTAAGGCACTGGCCCCACCTCTGGTCCAAGAGTTTCATTTCTGCAGTCTATGGTGGTTTCTGATAGATACACTACTCACTCTCATGTGGATGTTAAGATACTTTTTTTGTAAAAATGAGATTTTACACGGTTTTCAAATTAAGTTTATATGTTCATGCTTTTCCCGAAAGCTTGGTTTGTTATTTTTAATTATTATTGTCATTTTTGTCTGATTGATATATCTTACGTGTTTGTTTTGTTTTGTTTTTGTAAGAAAGGGAACCGAGACCTATGACTTGTTCCCTCCTTACTCCAGAAGTGAAGTTGATTTTTTTTTTAAAGTAATCCCTAAAGGTCAAAACTAAAGATTTTACCCCGACTTGTCCTTGGGCCATACTAATCACTCCTCTGGAAAATTTTATTCAGCTAACCAGGACTGCATCTAATGTATCAGCTAGCTTGTTTATTTCAATTTCTGGGTGAGAATATCAGAAAATGGTGAACCTGGGGAGCCTGTGGACAGCGTGTCCATGAGTCCTGGACCTCTCACCTTTTAGAACATGCCTCTCCAGCCTGTTTTCTCACATACCCTTTTGTCACAGTGTGTGGTGGCATGGCAGTCCCTAGTCACTATGATCCTTCACTTATGAGCATCTTGGTGTGTATTTTCTGTCTGGCTTGAATGTCCATTCCCCAGATTGCATGAGCCTATTTCAAATAATGAATAAGATTATGGTAATGTGCCGCCAGGCTACTCGCCTGCCTGGCTTCCGAGGGTACACTCTCTGCGAAGTTTAAGTCTTCCTTCTCTAGGCTGTTTTGGACTTTCCTCTGTTCGGAGATTGGCTCTGAGAAGAAGGGACTCTGCCAACTCCGGGAGATCCCTGGACCTGCCACACAGGGAGTGTTGACTTCTCTGTTTGCTTTCTGTATGCCAGCTCCAAAAGACAAAAGAAATGAACTGTCCCTCTCTGTGAAAAAATGGACTCCAGGTGGTTCGCCCAGGCAGGCGGCACCTTATGGCGGCACCTCCTATGACAGGCATGGAAAGTGTCAGGAGTTGGGGCTACAGACCTTTTTTGAAGACAGGACTATCTGGCACCTAAAGGAGGCCCAGTCTCTGTAGGAGATCCAGGAAGCCACACCTACGTCTTCCTTTCAAGTATGTGTTTTTTTGTGGAACTGAACTGAGGCTCAGTGGATGTTGGGTAAACACAGGATCCCAGGCCAGGGGAAAGTGCTGGAGTAAAACCTAGGTCTCCCAAGATCTCACCCAGTTCCCTCTTTGGCACATCCTATGTCACCTGCACCAAGTCATTTGTTACTTACACCTGTCCTGCTGATTAAGTGGCTTCTCTTGCACCCCCTCCTCCCCTGAACCCTGGCAGTTACCTAAGTAAAACACCCAAGATCGAATTTGGGGAAAATGGTATGATAGGCACATCAGACCTGGGGCTATGGAAAGAGCAAGAGTAGGGAGCCCTACATTGACCAAATATTCCAATCAAAATGCCTAAAACAGAAACCTAGAAGAAAAAAACAAATAGGCCGGGTGGTGGTGGCACACGCCTTTAATCCCAGCACTCGGGAGGCAGAGGCAGGCAGATCTCTGTGAGTTCAAGGCCAGTCTGGGCTACAGAGTGAGTTCCAGGAAAGGCACAAAGCTACACAGAGAAACCCTGTCTCAAAAGAAAAAAAAAGAAAGAAAGAAAGAAGAAAAAAAGAAAACAAACGAAAAACTCAGGAAGGCCTCAAAATCAACTTAGGGTTTCTTTGTGTAACCCCTGACTGTCCTGGAACTTGATTTGTAGACCAGGCTGGCCTCGAACTCAGAGATTCACCTGCCTCTACCTCCCAAGTGCTGGTATTAAAGGCATGTGCCACCACACCTAACTAAACAAAGTCAACCTTAAACAAAAGTCAAGGGTACAAGATCTTAGTAATTGATCCAGAGAGTGGTCACTCCTATGAGGTGAGCGGCAGGGCTCAGAGCAGGGTATCAGGGAGATAATGGAGGTCACCAGTCTCAACTATAACCCAGAGAAGGACTGAGCCAGGGGTCTCTGCCACCTCCTTGTGGGACAGCTTCTATGTAGGCTTGGTACACTGGGTAGAAGAGTTATGTGAAGTTGTCTGTCAGAACAAGGATGGGGTAGGAGAGCGAGGAGTCTTAGGCATAACAGTTATGAACTAAATGAACTGCCGTCACACATTTAGTTAGGTGAGGGAGCCTTTCGTGTAGTTTATTGTAAGACTTAGGTGGGTGAAGAATGGGATGCCTGTAGTGAAAACAAACACTTCACTCTCATGGGGTCTTCAGACTCATTTTCCTGCCCAGAGGCAAGCCTGAGAAGGGGCGTGGGCTTCAGTGAAGACACCTGGACAGGTAGGGAAAGTGAGCAACAGGTTTTTCCCTGGGCTGCCCAGCACCCACAGAATTGCCAGTCAAGCACAGCTCTTCCAGAAGGTGGGGACTGACTTTATTGCCAGATGGCGTCTCTCGGGGAATATGGCCCTTTCAGGTGTTCAACAGTGATCCTCCCACCTGTCCCCCAGATGATTTCCCTGGAGGCTAAGAGGAGACAAAGCTCAGAACAGGGGTCTCCAGGGGCCCATCAGACTGGACTAGGGCCAGGCTTCCCCTTCTTCCTCAGTTTGATTCGGTTTCTCTTGAGTTTCCTCACCCTCGCCATCTCATAGTTTTTCTGGGCTCGGAAGACACAGAGTCCCACAGCCAGAATTACCAAGAGTAAGAGAAGGAGCAAGCCCTTGGCCAGGAGGCAGAACACTGAAGACTTCTCAGAATAGCCAGGCTCTGGGATAGGAAGAAAGGAAAAGAGTTCATTAGAAGAATGGTAAGTTGAGAGGGCAGTCATCTATCTAGTGTCATAGAAAGGCTCTCCAGTTAATAATCAGCTCATCTCTTATACCAAATGCCTCTAGAAATACCTATTCTGTGCACAGAACTGGTATCTGGCCCTCAGTCTCAAGCCAAGTGCCGAAGAATCCTCTGGAAATCCGGAGCAATTGATAATAAAGGCAGGGTCCCTCCCTGGTCCAATGGCAAGCCTCTACAGAATAGTGTTATGTTCTAGGGTCCCTGGTATTCTCCTTAGGAGCCTCAGGCAGGAGGGGAGGTGGCGTCCTGAGGCACAGGACTTGCACAAGCTCAGGCATTGTCTCTTGGGTTCTGGTACCTGCACAGAAGGACCCGACAGGGATGAGACGGGAAGTGGAGTAGCTGACGGGGTTGCTGACCCTACAAGTATAGGAAAGGGCTTCGTCACCAGGCCTCCAAGATGTACTGACAACAGAGCCTTCGTGAGGAGTGTCAGTGCTGTCCTGAGATGAAAGCCAGCTGTAGGTCACATCCATGTCCGCCCTCTCTACGGAGCACCTCAGGGATATGTTACAGGCACCTTCCTCAGAAATCTTAAAGTTCACAGTGATGTGGGGCCTTGACAGTCGCCCTAAAAGAGAAAAAAAACATGAAGACCCACTGAACAGTCTGAAGTTGGGTCTGTTTTCCTAAGTCTCTCAAGTCTTGGGTATTCTTGCCATCTTGAGAGGCCCTTTACTCAAAATAAACAAACAAACAAACAAATAAATAAATAAATAAATAAATAAATAAATAAGCAAAACCAGATAAAACAACAATATAATTTGTGGTTGCAGGGCCACAGAATATCTGCTTAGACAGATATACACCAGTGGTTCCTTGTTACTTCACTCTTAGTTTATACACCTCCTTCCCCTAGATCCTCTTTGGTCTCACTGATTGTACAAAACATTACCACCCTCCCAAAGACATTTACATTTTAATCGCCTCTCCAAGATCCTAAGTAGACTCAATGTGGCAGGTAGAGAGAAGAAATGTTGGTTCAGGTGGGGGAGGAAATGATTAGTAACCCTCAAATCACACAGGGGGATAAAGGGCTCAAGAGCTATTTATCTAGAGGATGCAGTCTCCTGGGTGAGAAAAGGGCCCTTAGATGCCCTATTCACAGTCCTCATCTCTCTCACTGCTTTGGGAACCTCTGTGGAAACAGTCTCAGTCCTAACGCCTCCTTCTTCTAGCCCCCTCTCCCTGTGGCTGAAGCTCAGACACTGGAACAGAGCACACTAGAGGCAGTCTGCCTTCCAGGTCCAGCCTCTTAAAGCCTACCCCAGTTCCTGAGCATCCATGCCAAGCTCAGGAAAGCCAGAATAATAGGAGCCTAAACTCACGGTAGACATGGAGATTGTAAGACTTCGTGATAGAGAGCTGGGATGTCTTCAAGTTAACTTTGGCTTGGTAAAAGTCAGAGTCCTCCCAGGTCAGATTGCTGATACGCAGAGAGTAGCTGGACTCTGGGATGCCCACTCGACCTCGGTAGCGAGGATCCATCACAGTGATGTTGGCTGGCTGGCCCTCTTCCCCCGGTGCCACTACGGCGAGGTTTTTTCGAGAGGACCAGATGATGTCCTTAACCTCTTCACTGGATGGTATTTCCAGAGAAAGGATGATAGACTCTTGAAGGACTGCAATCACTTCCTCAGGGTCCTCCTCATCTCCCGAAAACCCTTTGGCTGAAAAGAGATGTATGTAGCCCAGTTGATATCTCTGGGAGGCCAAGGCTAGCTAGCATGGTAGCTATGGCTCCTCCTCATCAAAGCACCTTCTCTGCTCAGTGTGACTCTTTAGCTACCTCTTGTAGTTCTAAATTTCCATTGTACCCTGAGTTGGTCAGGGAGGGTCCCCATTTATTGCTCCGCCATCCAACGTTTTCCTTCTTCTTTGTCCTTCTGGAACTGCAACCCCATCCAGATCCTTCTCTCTTATCCTGCTCTGAGGCCGTCCTCCATCCCTTGGAGAGCGGAATGGAAGTTCCTCAAAACTAGCCTGGGATCCAGCTTTATCACTCCTGGGGACGTACTTGACACAAATCAAGTCCACATACTGCAGTGATGTGGTGGCGCATCCGCGTTTATTGCAGAGCGAGTTACAATGGCCAAGCTATAGAATCAGCCTCGGTGCCCATCCACAGGAGGGCTGACATATTCTCTCTAAAGAAAGGGTCTTGCTAGCCCAAGACCAGGTAGAACAGAGGCATACCAAGATAATCTCATGCAGCACTAGGCAACCACTCACCTTCCCGAAGCAGCAGAAGGAGTGACCAGAGAAAGGCCCCCATATCAGCAGCTCCTGCCTGGGAAGAGTGATGTGGTCAGCTCCCCAGGTCGTGGAAACACAAGCTGGGAAGGGACTCCTATAAGAGGAATGACTGACTGATATTGACGGGAAGCCGAGAGGGAAATACTTCTCACTTCAACTTCCTCTGTCCACATTTAAGCTCCTCCCTGGCCCTCATGGAAAGACGTTTCTCCCCAGCCCAACAGTCAGATGATTTATCTACTGACTCAGATTGCCCATCCCCTAAACTCAGTTCAAATCTCACTTCCTAATAAAGACTTTCTATCTCCAACTCTCTGTATGTCCAGATCCCATAGAAATCAAATATGCACGTACCAGCCTGCTCTCGGCCCTCAGCAAGCTCTCCCCACCACCTTAGTATTTCCTGCGTTGCTGTGATTTTTATCTCCCCTGAGAGTCTATATTTTATTTCCTCTGTATGTTTCACTGTTCCTGGCCCCTGTTAAATGCACATTCGTGGCATTAGAATACATGAGTGAGGGAAGTCTTTCCGTTTAAAGCTATTTGTATTCCCATTTGTGATGCTATTTGGGGGTGAGGGGTTGATCTCTTTTTTTTTTTTAAGAAACTGTCTTCCATCCACCTTTCTCTTCTGCTCAAGTGTCTGTAAAAACAGTTTATGACCACTCAGTGGTGATTCCCTCTGATTCGGCAGTGAGGGCTGCAGACAAGTCCCCAGTGGCGGTCTGGACATTCCAGGCTCCACTAAGGAACAGCTGGATGGGCCCAGAGGCCACACGCACATCTGCAGTCTGCCACCTCCCATCTGAGAGCAGGGGACGCAGGGGCAGGTACAGCCCATTCACCCTGACAGTCCTTCTTGGCCACAGCCTTTTTAGCCCACTTGCTCTTCCTTCCCAGTCTTAGGATCTCGATAGAAACAGGGATCAGGCATGACCAGACGAGCACCATTGGTGCTCACCAGAGATGGTACCACACACGTGCAGAACGTCCCAAGTCAGCATGCACCAAATAGGATTCACTGAGTGAGCAGCCTCGTTTGTGGCTTGGAATGACAATGTCAGCACTACAGAGGAGATTCTGGGTTACACAGAGCAGTAGTAGGCAGGTTGACACAAGACACCCCTGTGAGGGGCTGGTGGTCCGCTCTGGGATTAGTCACCACCAGAAGGCATCCTGGAGTCCTCTTAGACCTGGCTAGTGGAAGTCCTAGGAGTGAGGTGCCAGCATCTGGAGTGACTCCAGTGGCGACCGCAACTTCAGCACGGCTGGCTGGCCCAGGGGTTCCTGGAGGAGATGACATCTGCAGGGTCCTCAATGGCCGTGATGGCTGGAGCTGTCAACAGCAGCTTCTCCCGGGTCCTCCTCACACTTTTGATGTAAACGCCATCACTGTGCCTTTTGCAGAGGTACCGTCCCATCTGGAAGTCAAGGTTGGTGCCACCTGAGTGGGTTCCTACTGCAAGGAATTCGAGGACATCCTCCCTCTCCACTTGCAGGATCTCAAGGGCTCCAGATACTGTGTGAGTTCCCCTATAAACTGTAATGTGAATTGAGAGAAACATCACCTAGACCCCTGCCTAGGCAGCAGGGAAAGGCTGATTCTCTTTCAAAATACTGTTTCAGGCCAGGCATAATGGAACACATCTTTTAATACCAACACTCAGAAGGCAGAGGCAGGTGGATTTCTCCGAGTTCCAGGTCACCCTGGTCTACATAGTGAGTTCCAGGCCAGCCGGAGCGACATATTGAGACCCTGTCTCAAAAAGAAAATAACAATAACAGCAACAATAATTTTAAAAAAGAGTTTCGGTTAGAGTTGTTAATGTCATAGAAAGATTTAAAATCATTCAATTATCAATGTTGATCAAAGATATAGAGAAAATCAGATTTGAGAAGAGATTGTAGAGAATTAAGGTTAAAAAAAAAAATCATACTCTGGAAAACCCCACACACCACACCACACGGTGGGAGCGGGCAGAACCCAGCCAACCACGGGTCAGGGGCAGTCTAAGCCCTGGCCCCCCACCAGACTCCAGAGAAACCCACACCCCACACCATGCAGCCGATGGCCCTGGGTGGCTGGCACTATAATGATCTCTTTCTGATGAGAAAGCACGGCCCAGCACAGCACTAGGGCGACCAGTGTGGGATGGGGAGACCTACACACAGGCCTGGGGCTGTCTGCTCCAGGCTACAGGAAGAAAACTCGGGCCCACTTGATACCTCGCTGCCCCAGCCAGATGGGCACATTAGTGTGAGCAGAGGTATGGTATGGTGGTTTTATACGAGAGAGAAAGAGACAGAATGGTTTCAGGTCCTGTGGACAGAGGCAAATTTGAAAAGATGAGGGAGGAAGGGAGTGAGCTGAGCCCCCCGTTCCCACCCATCAACATCTAAGGAGGAGGGAGAGTTGACTCTGAGGTAACAGGAGTGGGAGAGCTGTCCCTACCCCCTACAAGCTGCATCACTCGGGAGAGCAGGCCCTGCACTTCACCAGGGCAGCACCATCGAGCCAACTCTGTTAACACGGCTGTGAGTGAGGCAGCCCCGACGTTGTGAGCATGGGAGAGTTCTCTCTCCATTTCTCATCTGTCTTGTGGTGACATGGGCAGGGGAACGATGCCCTGCCCCTGTGGTCGTAAGTGTGGGAGACCCATCCCTGACCCCACCAGCTGCAACGCTCCGGAGAGCGGGCCCTGCACCTTGCCAAGGCAGCCAGCACAAGAGAGCCAACCTTGTCAGAGCAAGTGTGGGTGAGCCAGCCCCGAAATTGTGAGCGTGGGAGAGCTGTCCCCATTACCCGCCTGTCTGGTGGTGGCATGAGCAGAGGAAATGTGCCCTCCTCCACCCTGCCCATCAACATCGGGCGGGGGTAGGGTGGGGTGGGGGGAGCTGGCTCTGTGGTCGTAAGTGTGGGAGAGCCCAACCCTGTTAGTGCAGGTGTGGGTGAGCCAGCCCCAAAGTTGTAAGAGTGGGAGAACTGTCCCCACTCCACATCTGGCAGACCAACCCTACAGCTGCCCAGGCCCAGATCCAAGGTTATGACCTGGCCCGCCCCATCGTCTACCCCATCTGTGAACTGCTGGAGTCCATGAAGGGATCTGACCTGCAGACCCAAAACTGCAGGATCTCCACAACACAGGGCAACAACAGGATATCCAGGAGGAGCTCTATGATAGTGTAGTAGAAACCAGAGACCTCGAACCAGACCAATGACTCTTTGCAATGGACACTTGCAAGGAAAGCTGTATGGACAAAGGGGTTTACAGCGTGACTCACAGTGTCACACTGCAGCTTCCATGTAGTATAGCTTATTTTTCCCCCTTTTAAATCTTTTTTTCCTTGTTTTCTCTTAAATTTTGTTTTATTTGAGGTGTGTGCAGGGGCAGAGGGTGGATGCAAAGGAACAGGGAAATGAATAGGATCAAGATACATGATGTAAAAGACACATAGAATAAATTAATTAATTAGCTAATTAATTAATTTATTTATTTATTCTATGTGTCTTTTACATTAATTAGTTAGTTAATTAATTAAAAGAAAAACATAGGCTGGAAAAGGAACGCCTACATGCACTCTTCGTAGTGTGATGGATTGATTAGCTTTACATGTCTACTTGACACAACTTAGAATCACTTGGGAAAAGAGTCTCCATGAGGGATGGTCTACACTGAGTTGGCCTGTGGGTGTGTCTCTGGAGTTGATTGATGTGGGAAGATCCAGCCCACTGTAGTCTAGTGTAGTCCTGAACTGCGTAAGAGGCAGGCATAAGCAAAGAAGCAAGCATGCATGTATTCGTTTCTCTCTGCTCTTGTTAATCTGAAGTGACTGACTGTCTCAGGCTCCTAATACTGTTTTCCCTGCTTTGATAGACTGTAACCTGGAATCATGAGCCAAAATAAACAGTTTTCCTCTAAGCTGCTTTTAGGGTATTTTATCACAATAATAGAAATGAAACTATAAGTAGAAATGTAAACTTATTGGGTTACTATGCAGATCAGTATGAAGGTTCTTTTAAAACACTAAAAACAGAGCTATCATATGATATAGCATTGCTGGGTAGTATACTCAAAAGAATCTAAGTCAGCATACTGCAGTGATCCTACACATTCAAGGTTACTGTGACAGCAGTCACAGTAGCTGTGACGGAATCCACCTAAGTGCCCATCAACAGGTATGAATGGATAAAGCCAGTGTGATATGTATACACCACAAGTTTTATTCATCTATAAGCAATGAAGTTATGTCATTTGTAGGAAAGGAAACGGAACCAGATGTAATCATGCTGAACAAAAGAATCCATGGGTTGTTGTTGTTTTTTTTTTTCCTCTCATATGCAGAATCTAGATTTTTGAAAACATGAAAGAGAAAGGAAGACTACTTAAGAACAGAAAAGAGAGACTTGAGTGGGGGTGTGGAGACACAAGAAACCATAACAGAGAGTAAGTACAGAGTGTGTTAGATGCACATATGAAAGCATTACAGGGAAGCCCGTTATGCTGTAGAATATATACTGATTAAGAAGTTAAAAAAGAAAAGATTTGGGGCTGGAGAGATGGCTCAGTGGTTAAGAGCACATATTGTTCTTGCAGAGGACCTGAGTTTGATTCTCAGCACTCACATCAGGCAGCTCACAACTGCCTGTAACTCCAGCCTCAAGTGAACTGATACCCCTCTGACCTCCTCCTTCTGCACACACACACACACACACACAAGCAAGCACATACACACATACACATGTACACACACAACACTATAATTGAAATTTTAAAAATAGTTTAAAAGAAAGAAGAAAAGAAAAAAAAGAGATAAGCTTTGGTTGTAAGGAGGCAATGGATTATGTCATATAGCTTTCATTCCCTGTATTCAAGCTAAGACTGGACAGTCACTGGTTCAGATGGTCTACAGCATCTCTGACACCAGATGGATCCTCAAACTGGATATAACCTTTAAGTTTCTACCAGTGCTCAATTCAATAAGCCATGACAAGGAAGCAAAAAGGTATTTCATGACTGTCTTAGTTTGGTTTGTTGGGTTTTTTTTGCTGTGAAGAGACACCATGTCCATGGCAACTCTAATAAAGGAAACATTTAATTCGGTTGGCTTGCTTACAGTTTCAGAAGTTCAGTCCTTTATCATCATGACAGGGAGCCTGGCAATGTGCAGACATGGTGCTGGCTACATTTTGATCAGAAGGCAACAAGAAGTCGACTGATACACTGGGCAGTGTCCTAAACACAGGAAACCTCAAAGCCATCCCCCACAGTGACACACTTCCTCCAAAAAGGCCACACCTCCTAATAGTGCCACTTCCTATGAGATTATGGGGGGGGGGCAATTACAGTCAAATTACCACAATAACCAAGGAAGGAAGGAAGGAAAGGCAGGGAGAGAGAGAGAGAGAGAGAGAGAGAGAGAGAGAGAGAGAGAGAGAGGGAGGGAGGGAGGGAGGGGG